TCTAAGGAGGAATCACACTCACACACGTGATGTTTCGTCATGTTGGTGTGTCCAGTTTTCTGCTTAGTCAGCTTGTCTTCTTTCCAAACCTTGATAGTTTGATTTACAGACTTCTAAAAAAGTTAAGGACCACTTTGACAGACAGACCTGATTTGTTAAAATCCGAAAAAGACAGCAAGGAACGTTTCGAAATGTCTTGCTCTGAAAGTGTTCATGGGTTACCAGTGCATGCTGCAAATCTTCCCATAGGGGCAAAACCACCACGTGCAGCACAGAAATCCTCGGGGAATTTTAGCCAAATTTGCGAGTGGTCTTTTTAACTTATGTTGAAGTCTGAAGGCGGCAAACACTCTACGACCAACTAGAGGCACCTAATACTATAGTCGAATAGGTTTTCTATAAGGAGCAATCACACACACGTAATGTTTCGTCATGTTGGTCAGTCCAGTATACTGCTTGGTCAGCTTGTCCTGTTTCCAAACCTTGATAGTTTGGTTTAATGTTTTAGTTTTGGTATGAGTTTTACGGCACTTGCAAATCAATAAGGTCATATGAGCGCCCAGAAGATTACAGGTCTTACAAGAGAGTAACAAACACAAAATAGAAGGAGGGGAGAAAAGGTCAATAGATGTTTCATAGGAAAGAATAAACAAACCACACCAGAGCACTCGCCAACCACCCACTCGAATAAGTTATCTATAAGGAGGAATCATTCTACGTGACCAACACTATACGACCCAATAGAGACATCTAATTATAGTCGATTAGGATATCTATCTATAGGGAGTGTTTCGTCATGTTGATGAGTCCAGTGTATTGCTTGCTCAGCTTGTCTAGTTTCCAAACCTTGATAGTTTGATTTATATCTAGCGTATGAAAACTGGCTATGTATTTCTTCCCCCCCCTCCCCAAAATCTCTCTCTCTCTCTCTCTCTCTCTCTCTCTCTCTCTCTCTCTTTTATGAAGTACAGTAGTCTCCGCCTAAACGCATGCCATACAAAAGCACATTCTGCTCAAAGGCACACTTTCGTCATCGACAGGTTTTTTACTATATATTTTAGACGTACAAACGCAGGGTCACTCCCTCTAAACACACGCTCCGATCCGCGAAACTCGCCAACAGGTAAAGTTTGGCAAAGGGAAATTTTCCCTACAACCTGCACAGCTTGCATAAGACGGGCCTAGAAAACCAGATATTTGGTGAGACTGACCCTCTCGCAGAACCAAGAGAGGGATGGACGTTTTCTCACCCTACTTTCCACAGACACATAGGTCTAGGACTGCCTGGTGAAATGTGTAGAAAAGTTTTTTGATTGGTCACCTAAACTGCTTCTTTGAGAGAAGGTTCTGACTCTGGTGTTTGGGGGGCTGCATGTAATGTTTTGTTAGACCTAGGCTTATGATGCGCAACACATTCAAATGCTGTAAAACACTAGACAGGTCTCTATAGGATTAAATATTAGTCAAGTAAGCCCAAGCAGCCGCGCTCGAAGAATGTATAACGTACTTGTTCATCGAATCACAAGAGAAATGTTTCTCTGAATGTAGAGGTCTATGATTCTGAGTCACTATCTGAGGTGGTCACTTGGAAAGCCAAGTGGCTGGGCCGTCGTCTCTATGACTATCACCAACAGTTTCCTCTTAGGCTAAGAAATGTACACAACAAAAGAAGTCAACACAAACTGCCAACAGAAGTGTTGCTCGTTCACCGAGTGGTGGTGACCCGTTTATTTGTTTTACTATGACACTTGGCCTTCCTCGTCTGAAACATTTCGTTTTGTTTTGACCTTTCCCGGAACCATAATTTAAAAATAAAAATAAAATTAACAACAAAAAGTCCCACTTAAAAAACCATCCTATCCTCTCCCCCCTTTCAAAAGAAATAAAACAGCAACAACACATTTTAATCAGCCCTAGGGCAGTATTAAGCATGCAACCTCCTCCAGTTGGGACCTCAGAAGTAAATATAGTTTGTTTTCTTCATTTTGATCAGTCCAGCATAAGACGGCCGCCTGTCTTATACGACCACTTTTCCCCTCGACAATGCATGGCCGTCTCACACAGGTTCCACTGTATTTAGTTACATAGTGAGATTTTTATGGTTTGGCTTTTCATTTTGTAAAAAGTCATTGGATTACGGAAACCTGCCTGGTTTTCCAATTACATTTTTTTGGAGTAACTTTTCTTTTAATGAAATCTAATGTTATTGAATGATATAGCTTTTGGCAGCAATGATTCTGTGTCATTGCTGTCAGTGTTATTCCCCTTCCTGGCCATGCTCTAGGCGTGCCTGATACATTATATAGATTCCCTTCCCACCCTGGCTTTGTGTGCCAGTTCTTTAAAGATATCCTGTGTTCTAGAAATAATGGTTTTCTACAGTTGAACTTCTCTCATGACCACTAGTATGAGACCATCACCTGTTCACATGACCACTGGCCTTTACGTATACATTTTTGAAAACTTTATCATGACTTTGTGTGTGGTCTACCTGTCCAAGATGGCCACATTTCTCTGGTCAGTGGGTCGCAGTCTTAGACAATTCTGACAGTACTTTGATCAGAGTTAGTTTACCTTAGATTCCTTTTACAATGTATGTTATACATGTGTTGAGCTGTGTTTTCTAATTATCGGCAAACCTTTATGTGTACATGTTTTCATTGGTTCTATTCTCAGGTGGGATGACGATGTAGTCTTCAAAAACTGCGCCAAGGGAGACGAGTCAAGAACATCCAGGGGATTTATTAACGACACACTACGCTCCGAGTTTCATAAAAAGTTCATGGAAAAATATGTCAAGTGATACCACTGCCCCTTACCCTTGGGGGTTGTTTTTTTTCTCGTCAAGAATTGTCGTTTTCATCAGGATTTTAACATGCTCATTTTGAAGATAACAGTCATGCCCCATGATGTACAAATGTATTCCTTTTCATGTTCATAGCTCATGTTGTAAGAAATGTATTGTGTGACTGGTATTACTTCTACTCAAATGACTAGAAATGTAAATGATCATATTCCAACAGAAGATCAGAAAGTAGTTGTTTCTTTTAAAATTTCTTTTAATTGTAAAATGCCAAAAATGTAATGGTACAATTGATAAGTCAGTGTAAAGACTATTTAGAGGCAACATTTTAGTCAATATACTTTACAGACTCGAAGGCCTCTTGCATAATTGGTGTCATGCTAGACTATGGTGTAGATGACCTTGTTTTGAATCCCCACAGTGGTAAGAGTAATTTTAGATTGTTTTATTAGTTATTTTTTAATAGGCTCCCCACCTGCTTAGTTCTGTCCTTTCAGAGATGGCTGTTAACTTCTTCGGTCTTGCTTCTCTGGTAAGTCTGTTCAAAGGGGCATCAAACTGTGTCATACCATCTGTCTCTTTTCTCACCTTCATTAGTTGTTGGTCAAAAATAACAAGTGTTTGTAAAGTAGGACAGCTTCAATTTCAACAAGAATTATTTGCTGTTGCAAGGCCTTAAGTTCAGATTTTGTATCTCTTTGGTGAATGTAAACTGTATCAGTGCCAGGACACAGAATAAAGAAAATGTGCGAACATTTGTTGAGTTGATGTTGTTTTTGTGTGGGTTGGGGGGGGGGGGGTATCACTCAGGGGGAATGTTTTTATACGTGAGGCATCGTTGGGAAATCAGGCTCTCATCAATTTTTGGGAATGTAGAGTTATTGTTATCGTCTTAAAGCTTGTTCACTTGTCTTTGTGTGGATGAAAAAAATATCAATGTATCTTGAATACAAGTCGAGATATTTGCGAATGAAGGAGGTGGGGGTCACCTGTTTTCAGAGGTAAAATTAGTGAGAAAAAGGCTGCCAAATATTAGTTATTTCCTTAGCTTAAGAGTCCGAGGTAACTGAAAATTTACATTTTTTTTGTGCCTTTAATCAACGTTTTTCAGAAAAATCCACCCAAAAATGAGTTTTTTTAATGGGCATGAAAGGAGTTGAGCCAAAAAACAAAAATTTGATAAAAATTCAGAAACCTGCGGAAAAATGCAAGTTTCTACACTTTGACTATTTTGACGAGAGCCTGATTACACCACGCTGCCTCACATATATGCTTTGTGGTGTAGTAGTTAGTTGCTGCGCTGTTGCACTCAGGAGCCTAGTGGAGAGAAAAATTTTTCTCTGTGTCTTGGTCATTCTTCTGGAATGTTGTATCCCTCTTAGCCCAGGTTGGCCCTGACAGGCAGGGCTGAGAGCCCGACTCTTAAATGACCTAAATTGTGTCAATGGAGGCGTTAAAAACACCTACATAAAAAAGAAGGAATGCTTTTCTAGCCTGCGGACAGTTAGTCCAGTCAGGGTTGCGTTGGGATAGGCCATGTGTTGAGTCCCTGTCGGCTCAGTCTTCACAAGATTGTCACAGTCATGTGACTGGCTTTATTTATTCTACCAATTCTTTCGACGGGGTAGCTGTATTTGAGGACTTAACTCAGAGCTCCTTGCCGAAGTATTGCTTCATATGACATAGCAGCTCTTAATAGCTCTTGCTTTGTTCTATATATGTCATATGACCAGTTCCCCTCTGAATCGGACTTTCGTCAAGGGAGGAACAAAATATTCAATTTTGATTGTACAAGATATTTAAAATATGTCATAACGGTAAAAAAGTAATGTATTTTTATTACAGTTTTGTTTTTAAGGATAATATACAAGTCAACTGGTTTTGAAAACTAGTGAGATTTTATTTATTTAATTTTTCCTTCACACAAGCAAAAGAATCCTACATCACCAGCAGTTTCTGGAACAACATCCACACTACGCATTCTACTTTGACACATACATCGCACTCAGACACAGTTCTGCATATTGACAACTTATGCTTCAATGTGAAAATTCTAATGCATACAAACATGAATGTAATATAGTGGTCTCTACTGAAAGACGGTACTAGTACTTGGGAGGGCTCATAGATGTGCTTTCAAGTGAAACGTGTACAGTGGCGTACGTATAAACCGAAGTCTGTGGGACTGCCAGATTTTCTTTGGTGGAGGCTGCTTTTCAGTTTAGAGAGGTTGCTCGAATTTCAAATTTAGAACAGTTTTACTGCTAGTTTCAGATTGAACAGGTTAGGTTTAAGCGGACTCCACCGTATGTATTAGAAAATACAAAAAATTAACATGCAAGTAATTTTTTTAGCGTCACTGCCATGGAGGCTCTTATTCAAGTTAGCTAAGGTTAAAAAATGTTGCTATTTCATTTGATTGATTAATCATGAATATTTCACATGACCATTGATTTAACTTAATTTCCCAGGCAGACTACTTCAACTTCACTGTCAGTGTGGGCCTACCTGGAGTGACTGTGATGGGATACAGTATCCAAACAGAAAGATGGAGATACTCGATAAAAAGAAAATTCCCCAATCTGGAATCAATCCTTGTCCTTTACACGTAAAGCAAAGAACAAATCAACATTTACAAAGCATGCGCTTTGGTGAAGGTGAAGAAATACTAAAGATATTTGATAAAATTGCGTTCCATATATGTGAATTGAACTCATGTCTTTTGCATACTAATACTAGATAAAGAGCCGGAACATTATATCTAAACCAATGACTTCGGTGCGCTAGAGTTACTTCGGTGCACTAGAATTACTGTGTTCAAAGCACATTACCAGACTCTCCTCACAAGTTTATCTTTCACACTTTCTTTTAAATTTCCTGCCATACTTACAAACAGTCACTGTCCATACAAGCAGTCCTTTAACAATCATCAATGTTCTTGCACAGGCATTTATGCAAAACATTCATTGTGAGACATTTCATTAGCTTGAGTTGGTTTTAAAAATGTATTATCAGCTCTAAAATTAGAATTCATGCTACAACAATATGATAAAACATGGCAACATACAGCGCTACTATTTACAACAAAGTTAGGTTTACCACAATAATTTCTGCTTTCATACCAGTGCCTGACTGACCAGTAGGCCTACTTTGACGAGACAATGATAACCTCCAACTTTTCTACTACCACACAGCTGTGCATAACGTACTGGGGCAAAATTGGCACAAAAACACTTCTAGGTTCAAAAATAGGATAACACCGTTAACATTCACATTTAAACTTTTACACACCACTATGTCTACATTTACCTCTAGCGCAACGATAATTGGTCCCTTGCCTATATTATATATTTTATAATTCAACGTTTTACTGCAGTGGGCTTTGGTTAAAACAATGTTGAGGGGACAGAAAACAAATCAATCGAACCTTAAAATAAAATTCTTTTCAGTTTCTGTCCTTATGTCCTGGTTATAGTAAGCAGGGGATGCAAAAAGCGGTGATTGTTCTACTTTATTTTGTATCAAAGTCTTATTACTTATTTGAGCGGAGTTCCCCCATGTCTGAGTCTGAGTATCATATTTTTATCAAATCTAAAACCCGGTACCAGTATAATTATCATTATTTATCTATTTTCAAATTGTTAGTATCATTGCCCTGTTTGCTTTTCAAAAGGAAAGTTGCGACGCTCTGTATTCTAAAAGAAGTGGCTTTGTTAGTTATTGAACTTCTCCGGAAATATTGCTGTTAAGTAGATTAAACTCTGATGCCCTTTCACTGGCCTTAACGTGCCTGAAATGTGCTCCCAACTCCTTTTGGAGAAGAAAACAGTAAAAAAAAGAATGTCTCTTGGACACAGTGTTTTAAGAAATGGTAACAGATACGAAATATAGAATTTAAAAGAACTACCGAAAATCACCCTGATACAAGTACACTAATAATTTAGTAATGAGGTCTTCTTATTGCCCTTCTACTATTGTTGTCTGCCTTGCTCCGTCCGTCCGTCCCAGCTCCACCAATAAATGATTGTTATTGTGTCAATGTGCTTTACTTTCATTTTTAACCAACAAATAATTGCAAGCACCCATTCATGACCATACAATGTATTACAAAGAACATGCACATATCTAAAACAAGAGGCAGTTGAGTCAAAAATATCAGAATGCAATCCAACAATACATAATTAATGCGCATTTAACAACAAAGCTGAATGAAGCACTTGTGACAAAAAAAACTGATATCCTACTGTTACATAATGTTCTAGAATCGTTTAGTACATCTAGGTCCAAAGTAAATCTTGCTTTATGAACCCTGAAAAGAAATATGTGAAAGGCGCTACGTGTATTCTGTTTACAATGCGAATTAGACAATTGTTTTTGGACGGAAGCTTGGAGCCAGGATATGGGTAGGGTAAAAGGAGATCTTTCCCCCAAATCTATTCCTTGACGAAACATCCACAACCCTACCCCTCACCACAAGGCACACCACTAGTCCCACAAAATTGGTTGGGGTAACCGTACCAGTCCAACACACTCACCACAAGGTAGTTCAGTCAGATGGTAAAATCATGTACATTATCACCATGCAAAATAGTTTATGGTACATTAGCAGATGGAGAAGAGAATTGTACATCAGAACACCCCCCTTCCCCCCATAAAAAAGGCAAATAATTATTTCCAAGTACAAAGCTTTGACATAAAACTTCTAAAGGTCTTTACAAGCTTATAAGGAGCCAAATTTCACACTTAAATGACATGAAGGTAAAAGCCACACTTTGGGCTAATAAATACTTGAAACTTTTTTTTGTTGCTCAAATCAGAATATTAGGCCTTGCTGTGATGACTTGCTGTCTTTTACTATTATGTTATGTCAATATAGGAAAACATAGTTTTCTGTGTTCAACACATGATATATTATATAATGCTAGTTTATAACTTTCATTTAAAGAAATGACAAACCTCTGCTTTTACTTGCATAATCCAAAAATATATGGCACCAGTATATTATTATTATATTACTACTTCACGAACTAGAATTATTAGTATCCTTATAGTGTTAACTCTAAAACACTGTGCAGGTATATTAGAATCCATCAGTCATGTACATATTTGGAGCAAGTGCTTGTAATAATAATAATAAATGACACTTATATAGCGCTCAACCCCGAATAAAGAACACAGGCTCTGAGCAGTTTACAATACAGTACAAGTTGTTTTACAACATACAGCAGTAACATAAAACGTGTTCTGACTAAAGAAAATTATTCCAAATATTCATCTTATTAATTTAAAAACAGAAACGACTTTAGCTGACATTTGAATGAATCAGAAAGATTTGATCTCTCTTTAAGTACTTGATAAAGCATTCCAGATCTTGGGGCCTTGGTATTCAAATGCCCTTTCACCCATTGTTTTAAGTTTCATAGATGGTAAAATAATTTTCTCTTTGTCAGCTGATGACCTTAAACTGCGAGTTGGAATGTATATTCTTAACAGATTTGATAAATATGATGGTGCATTATCATTCAAACATTTGTGACATAGGGTGGCCAACTTGTACACAATCCTTTTCTCAACAAGAAGCCAATGCAAGGTTCGTAAAAGAGGTTTACCAGAGTCTCGCTTTCTTTTCCGTAAAATTAAAAGTGCTGCATTGTTTTGGACGGTTTGAAGTCTGTAAACTTTCTCCAGTGATATTCCTGATAACAAGGAGTTACAATAATCGAGTTTTGAAAAAATTAAGCTAGTTACTAGTGAAGCAGTATGCTTAGTATTGATCAGATGACGTATTTTACTAATTTTTCTTATTTCTAAATACAAGCTCAAAATAGATGCCAAGATTCTTAACTTTTCTTGAAAATACAATTTTTGCATCACCAATTGTAATGTGATCGGGGTCAACCTCTTTAACAGACTGTGCATTGCCTTCCAGAATGACTTGTTTTATTATCATTCAACATCAATTTGCTTTTGTTCATCCAGTTTTTCACTGAGGCAATACAATTTTCAGCAAAATGGGCAAGTTCATCTAAGTTGGTAAACAATGTTGAACCATAAATTTGGGTATCATCAGCATAGAAATGGTATTTTAAGTCATACTTAATTATTTTCTTGACAAGTGGTTGGGTATAAATGGTGAACAAAACTGGACCGAGGACTGAGCCCTGGGGGACCCCGTACTTAAGAGCATGATCTGATGACTTAAGACCTTTAATAAAAACAGATTGGTAACGATTTGACAGGTAAGAAGAAAACAAGCTAAAGGCAGTCCTGGATAATCCAAAAGACACTTCCAATCGCTTCAATAAAATATGATGGTCAATTGTATCAAAAGCTGCTGATAGATCTAAAAGGCTCAGCAAAACAACTTTTCCTGAATCATAGCCAGTAAGCATGTCATTCATGACTTTAAGAAGTGCTGTTTCTGTGCTGTGGTTAGCTCGATAGGCAGACTGGAATGGCTCTAACAGATTGTTCTCTTGTAAGTGATGACAAAGCTGCTCGAGGACAACCTTTTCAAGGTAGTTCATTCCTGAAAACTCTGAAACAACATTTTAATCTTCCCTCAAAAACAACTTTTACTGAGATTTTGCTGAAAAGCACCCTGGTTCATTAAATAATAAGTCTGTACTATTCTACATGCACGTTACAGAAAAATTATTTTAAAAATTGTCTTGAATAACCAAATGAACGTCGGTACCAAGTTTTCCCACCTGAATACTCCTACAGAATGATGAATGTGAAAAATTCAGAACTGAGGAGCATAATGCATACATTTATAACAGACAACAATAGATCCTATCATCACTTCTCTAAATAAATCAGCATCCTTATCTTTGTCAATATGCTCATGTGTACTAACGTCGGAAAGATAAATAATTTTGGAAGGAAAACAATAAGTAGACAAAATGTCATCCCCTTGACCGTGGCGCACTTAAAAAAAAACAAAAAACGTACGGGTATGAATGTCTCTTGTGTTGTAGTGACCAAAAGTTGTATTTATGCTCCATTGTGGGTGGTTGGTGGGTGCTCTAGTGTGGTTTGCTCCTTTCCTATCAACAAACATTTATTGTCCTTACCTTTCCTCCTTTCATATATTTTTGTTACTTTCTTGTAACACCTCTAATCTTCAGCACTTATAATATTATAGCTTAATTGTGTTGCAAGAGCCGTACAACTCTTACTAAAACAAAACACATAATATGCTCCACTAGAAGTGCAGTATTGAGTATCATGTATCGCAGGGCATGAGGGATGAACGCCACAATGTCCACTTGATGTCTTGACAGACCTTTTTCAGCAGGA